GTACTTTACCTTGTAACTATGGAGTAAGTCTATGATACCACTAGTGACCTCAGTGTGTAGACCAGCCTTCACAGAATCACAGAGTGGGTCAGGTTGGAAGGGACCACAGTGGTCATCTGGTTCAGCCTCCCTGCTTAAGCAGGGTCATCCCTGGGCACATTGTACAGGATTGCATCCGGGTGGTTCTTGGATATCTCCAGTGAGGAAAACTCCACAGCCTCTCTGGGCAACCTGTTCCAGTGTGACCACCTGCAGAGTGAAGAATTTCTTCTTTCTATTCAGGTGGAACTTCCTGTGCATCAGTTTCTGCTCTTGTCCTTATCAGTTGCCTCATCAGTTGTATCAGTTGCCTCTTATTCTATTGCTTGGCACTACTGAGGAGAGCCTGGATCCATCCTCTTGACATCCTCCCTTCAGATACTGACAGACACTGATGAGGTCCCTTCTCAGTCATCTCTTCCTAAGGCTGAACAGGCTCAGCTCCCTCATCCTTTCCTGATAAAAGAGTTGCTCCAGTCTCCCAATCATCTTTGCAAACCCCAGCTGGACCCACTCCCAGAGCTCGGTGTGTCTCTTATCTGAGGAGCTCAGAACTGGACACGGCACTCCTGATGTGGCCTCACCAGGGCTGAGCAGAGGGGCAGGATCACCTCTCTCAACCCACTGGCAAGCTCTTCCTAATGCACCCCAGGACACCCCAATGGCATTCTTGGCCACAAAGACACACTTGTGCTCTGTTACTCATTACAAAATCCAGTGCATTTGGATGGGTTAGTCAATTCTTCTAAGCATTTATTGTCTTTCATGGCAGTGTTTTTGACACGTATTTGCTATTACGAAATTCTTTCCTGAAATAAAAAATGTGGGAGATTTCATGTTTTCACTGTAAGGTGTTGTATGTGTAGTGTAAAGGAATTGAGATAAATTGATGTCTGTAAGTGATATGTGGCCAAGTTTGCTGGCTACACAGAAGATGGGGGCTTTCAGAAGTATCCATACACCCACGTAATTGCCAAAACTTATTTTTCTAGTTGTTGTATAGTTTCACTGGATAGGACATGATGCATATGATGCAGATCTTTCCCTGCTGTTGACATGGCATGTCTCTCAGTCCAGGTTTGCTCAGGTTCAGTGTGCTCAGAATCAATAAAGCAAAAGATCGTCCCATAAGACTATTCTCTTCAGCGGTGCACTTCTAGTTTGTTCTGTGCTGAGGTCTTGAGAAATCACTTGGGAAGCAGACAATGACTAATTTGGATGCTTTCAGCTGCGAAGTTGTTTAAAAAGCTGCTCATTTCTCAGTTGGGTTTTATTCTTAGTCATGGTATGAGTCTATCTAAATATAATTCCTGAGGTCTTGGGCGTTAAATGTTGATATTCTTTATTCAGTCATCTTTCCTGATGTGGAAATGATACCTGCACTCAGTATATGTGTATGTGTCTGTGTGTTGAGTGTGAAGTGTAGGTACTCTTTTGTATTGACATGGTGCAATACATGTCCCAGTGATACCTTTTCACTTTTAGTAGAATCACATAAGTTTACTAACTCAAAGTAACTAGTGGCATATTCAGTGTTAGTCCAGAAAAGTAAGTAAGACAAAATCCCTGCACTGTAGGAGGGCAATACATTTCCAAAGGGCTTGACCCATTATCTTTCTGATGTAGCTTTTGTATCATAATAAAAATCACTAGTCTGGAACAGAGCAGTTTGACAGAATAACTCAGTTGAGTCACAAAATGACAGATGCTAGAAATAAAAAATAAACAAACTGTGCTAGGTCATTGCTGTCAAAGCAGGATCCTTCACCTGTAGTTCCTGCTGTTTATGCAGTCAGTGGTAGTTTGGGGGCCACCTTTTTGTTGATGTGACATGCAAATATGGTTTTATTTCTTTTCTAAGGTTTCACACTACATCTTAGGATATAACTACAGCAGCAGCCATATGCTTCACTTGATGTTTCCAAGCTGGTGATCCCAGCCAGTCCACTCTCAGCATCGCTTCCCTTCCCAGCTGTTGAGCTTCCCTTGGCTCTAAGTGTTTGCAACCAAGCCTTCCCCTTCTCCATTTATATGGAGCCAAGCACCCCAAAGAAAATCCTCAGACCATGTAGCTTAATTCTCCCCAGACTTGATGGTGCAGCCAGCAGAGTTGGGAGTTATGTGCTGTGGTGTCCAGGCAGCTCATTCAGCCTGAACTGCACCTTCTATTTCCTCTGTAAAAGGAATGGCTATTGCATATCAGCTTTTATCCTGGCTGTAGCTGTCTGGGAGTCAAAGCTTTCCTCGAAGGCAGCTGTGTCTTCCAGAAAAGCAGGTAAAATGCATTGCACTGTTCTGTCTGATCTGCCTGTAAACAGAGCTGATGACATGTCACTGGAAATGATTGTTCAATTATCCAACAACAGTGCAGAAAAGTGAATTTCATATGCTGAGTGGTTTTAGGTAGGAGTATAGCTAGAAGATGCTGAGGAATATGGTTTTCTCTTCTGCTTTAGATCAGAGACCATATGTCTCAAACAGACAGACCCCTGAGCTTCTACCAGAGCACTGACTGGCACTGCCAGTAATTTTGGCTGTAGATAGGGCAGAAGGAGGAGCCTATCCAGTTTGCCTTACTTGATACTCGTAATTAACTTTAATTTGCTCAGGAACTTGAATCTCTTACATCTATATTCATAAATTAAGTAGAATCTGAGAACATTCCTGGAGTCCAAGGTAGAAATTATTGTGGTGGGGGATGCTTATTTTTGTGAAAAAGAGGGCAAGAAAAGAAATGTGATTTGGTCTAAATTGGAGAGAGTTTGACTGCTGTATTGCAAAGTATTATTTGTTTCATTGTGCTTAGGTAAGTAATGTAACAGCAGTCCACACCTCTCCCTTAGAAACCTGTCTCACAGGCAGCAGTTAATGAACTAGTAATGAAAAAAAATCTAATGGGTTCTGCCTTATTATGCCCAGAATAGGCTCACATGTTGACTTTCAGCAGAATCATCAAGAATTTAATTTGGAGACAAAATACAAAAAGTTTCTAATAGTTCTCAGCTGGTTTGTGTGATTTCTCTAATAAGTCAACATTCATAAAAATGTGCGATGAGATTTTTCTCAAATGACAAACTATAGCTGTAAAATTTTCCAGTTCATTACAAAAATAATACATTTTTCTTCCCTTCAGAGAAGCTAACTATTGACCAGCATTCACAACGGGGAGAAGGGAAGCCTTTGCTTCCAGATTTTAGAAAAAAATCAGGAATTTAGTGTTTAGAAAACAAGGGTTCACCAATGCTGCCCTGAAACAGTAGTGCTGTGGCTGAGCAATGCAGAGGGAAGTGGCCTGCCTTGCATCTGCAGAGTTTTCTGTCTCTCCTGGATGAAGTCTTTGGGAGTCTGCTTCCAACATAAAGCACTTAGCATCTGTAAAGGGAGAGCAGAACATCTATCAAACATGGGAAGATCAAAAACTGTGACTCCCTGTGGAGCGACTGTTGGGAGGGAAACAGCTGAATAATGTTGAACATATTCAGATCTCTGACTTCACCTAATGCACACTGTGAAGGCTGTGTTTGTAGTCAAATGCTGATTCATTGTTACAGATGTGGAAAACCTTTTGTGCTTCTGCCTTTAAGACACTGTTATATTAGTTGCTTGAGAGGCAGCACTGCTTCTGCCTTTTCTCAGAAAAATATAACCATAAATGTTAATCTGAAGTGTGGTTTTGTATTGCTGAAAAGACAGGCCTGCTTGTTGACTACCTTGGGAGGTGGCTTGATGCTTGGTACACTGAAATAATTTAGGAGCTGACAAGGGCATTTAATAAATAAACTTTGGGAAAAAAATAATCATGATACTGAAACCTCAATGATAATTTGTCTCTTCATATATATGCTCATGCTCATGCTCAGGAGTCAGGAACCACTGTGGTTTTGAGGACAAAATCACTGAAACAGTTGAATTCTTTGCTGTGAAAGACTCCTCACCCCAGTGTCTAAAATAGTCTTTAAACTTCAGCTCTTCTGCTTCTAACAGTCTGGGTACATAAAAACTTCCATGACAGCCTTTCCTCAGTGCTCATCCTTGTTAGCTTAGCGGGGCCAAGGCAAGAGCACTGCAATGCTCCCAGAAGATGCTTCTGGCAGATCCCATGGTGCAGGCAGCACAGAGAGATATTTTGTGCTACATGAAGAATCAAACTACTCCTTCTTCCCAAGGGGATTTCCTCAAATTTTGGTTGTTCTCATGCTCCTAAGAGGAACTTTTTCTGCATTAGAGGGTGGTGATGGATAGAAAATGCAGGTGCTATTTCCTTGAACAGTTCTTGTGGGAACAAATTTATCCTGATAGTAAGTGCAATTATTTTTAAGGTGTTACATGTTTGTTCAATAGCTGTTATGTTATATAAGTGCTGATGTGTGGTGTGGCTTTTCTTATGTTGGCTCTGTCCTAGCTCAAAAAACATGTTGTTGCCTCTAAACAAATCAACCCCCATTTAATTAGTGAAGTGCCTTCTATAGTTATTTCTGCAATGAGTAGGTTATTGTCTCAGCAGCATCAAACTCAGTGGGAAAAAAAATCTAAGTGTTAATTTGTTCTTCAGAAATATCAGGATTGGTGATGAGCAGACAGCATCAAAGCAGAATAAAATCTCACATACATGGTTGCTTGTTTATGGAAATGACCTTTCATCTTTCAAAGACAGAAATCTTCCACTGGGAGATGGAATGTACAAAACAGCTTGACAAGACAGCCTGTAAATGTGTGTCTCTAACATAAGCATAGCTAATATTTTCTATTATTGCTACGTAACATTCTCTGGGCAGCAATCAGTTCCATTTAAATATGATTAATATGAAAGTAATAATGTTCCAAACTTCATTCATGTACATACTGTCAGGAAAGACTGTTGATTTGTTTTTTAAATAAACTGGTACTGAAATAAAATGAAAGTCTAATTCCTATGACACTACTACTGCTCTTCTCAATTCTGCACTGTCTGAATTTTTCAGGGTTTTGAAGGTATTCCTGTCCCGAACGGCTCAGCGTATTCCATATATGACAGGTGGGAGAGTGATGAGGATGCTGTCTGTTATTCTTCTGGTAGTCTTTTGGTTTCTCATTGGCTGGACTTCTGCAATAACCCAAAATTTGGAGAGAAACATTCCACTCATTGGTCAAGGGCAAACATCTGACCATCTGATCTTCAATATGTGCCTCATAGACCGCTGGGATTACATGATGGCTGTTGGTAGGTTAATTTTCTAGCTTGTCTTTAATTTCTATAATAAAGCTTGGTTGCCTTTTAATTTTTCTTCTTTTAGAATATCCTAAAGTTTTTTCAGTCTGCCTAATATGTGAGAAGTACAGCAGTAAAATATCAGCATATAGGTTTTTTAAATGGGCTGAGAAGTAAAACAAAATGGGTAACACTTCAATGACTTTCAAAGGTTTGTAACTTGGATTGTAGTAGCAAAATGATGGGTGCTCAAGACATTTCACCTTTGAAGGCAGAAGGAAGGAGTAGCTCTTCTGATATTGGAGCTTTTCAATGGTTTTCTACTATTGAAATGAGAAATTGTGACTAATTTAATGAAGGTTTTTTGATTTTTCACCACAGAACTGGCCAGAGTTCTTGTGTGAGGAGGGAAAGAACTTCCAACACCACTCATTCATAACCTTACAGAAATTGGTATCAAAATACAGGGAATAGGAAATGAACATCAAATGCACCAACTTGATGTATTTGTTAGATGTGCTTTCAGTGCATGGAATAGGCAGGAGTAAAAATGACACCCTGCAGAAGTCATACAAAGCGAGAAAGGATTAATTATTGTTTCCTTAAGTCTCTAAGAAACAGTGGGTTCTTGTGCCAGGGTTCAGGGAAACAGTGTGATGTGCTTTCTCCCACACAGTGCTTCCACCTTGAGCCAGTGTTGCTTGTACAGCCCAGGCTAGCCACCCACTGTCTCAAATACTTCAGTGTTTTGAAATATGAAATAAAATCCTGATTTTCTGCCCTTTCCCTATGTCTCTCATGGACATCCCACCAACAGAGCTCTGCTACTGAGGATTAGGGAGAGGTAATGGTGGCTTCTCCACATGAGAGTGCAGATGAGAGGGACAGAAGTGTTTTCTCTGAGACTGGCGTACAGAAAGTCAGTGTATGACAAAACACTGCTGCCAGCTTCACAGAGGAGCTTCCATGGCTCCAAGGTGCCCCTGTCCTCTGCTTTCCCCTCCTTTCTGTAAGATCTCAGAGGCAGTCAGGCACAGGGCTACCCCATCTGTCAATATGCTCACTAGTAAACCGTGCAGAAAAGAGTAGAAAGGAGCATGTTTTAAAATGCTTCTCAATTTGGGTCCTTTTTGGTTCTTTTTGCAGTAATGGAATGGTAGCATTGGCAGAGATGTCATAAAGTTAACAAAAAAGAATTAAATGTGAAACACTTGATGCTGTTATCTGCACGAACCCATTTTGGATCAAAATTTTGGTGCATTTGACAGTGTAGTTTTATTAATATTTTGATAGTGGTAGCTTTTGCATAATGGCAACAAATGTTTTTAGTCTCTGGGGTTTATAATTCTGGTGGTGTAGGGATTAATAATTCAGATCTTAAGACCCAATTCTGATCAATCATATATTTTGGCAAAAAATCATGTAAGTTGTTGTCTGCCAAGTTTTGAAAAAAAGCAAGGATTGCTTTTTAAGGTATGTTTACATTTAGAAGAGTTTTAAATGTGTTTCAAAATGCACTCAGGGGTAGTAGAAGCAAAGTGAGCTCTCAAGCCTGGAAAATAGGGCAGAATTTCTTTTGTTCAGTCAATTTGTCTTCTTATCCACACTACCCCATAAACAGAATTATGCAACTCTTCAGTAAACGATCCAGTCTTATTAGTGGTACCAGGAGATGTACACCTACAAGACTGTAGTAACGTGTGAGGTCTATATATATATTTATATGTGTGTATCTGTGTGTGCATGTGACTTCAAGATTTTTATTGCTAATAGCAGCCTGAAAATCTTACAGTCAGTAGGAACTAGTCCCAAACTTGAGATAGTTCATCTCAGAAATGTGTCAGAAGTAATATCCTTAGCACAGAATTCCCTTTTTTCCTATGGCAGCAACCTTGCAAAATATAATATGTAATAAATTATAAATAAGTAAATAGATTTGCTATTTGATTTCAAATGCTAAAATAAAAGTGGTGGATGGTAATTTATTGAAGACTTGTTATTTAATTTAATTTTTTCAGGCACATTATTTTATATAAATCTAGTGAGTGTTTTGCAATATATTCTGTCACTTGTAGCCCTTGCTGGAATACTTCCCTATTTCACTTGGCTGTCAACACTTCACTGAAATGCAGACAGGAAATTTTCAAGGTCACAGATTAGTGAAGTGAGAATTAACAAGGCTCTGCTAGAAAGTCATAATGAGATGAATCCTTTATGCTACCAGAGATTATTGGAATTGGGATTTATGAAGCATTTCCCATACTAATCATGCTACTTAGACTCTATCTCCGGAGACTTTTATTACAGTGAATGTTTTATATTTACATTTCCATTAAGTCTAAGAGGATGGTCTCTGTGAGAGATGTAGGGACTTATACACAATGGTTATCACTGTTTCTAGTATTGCCTCTGTACTCTGTGATATGCTGATGAGAAAAATTAGCATTCAGTAAATCTTACTTTATCTACATAATGTAATGTAAGTTACTGTGTATTTTCCTTTGGGTTTGTAAGTTAGTGTGTATTTTCCTTAGGGTTGGATACTTGTGGGTAGCTTATTTGTTACTTGCCTTATTTTTTTATTTCCTGTGTGTTAGTTTCTGCATCCCTTTCAAGGTCAGGGCATTTGTCTCATTGAAAAGCCATGGCATGATTGACAGTCTGAGATTGCAGAGAAAGACCTGAGGCCTTGAAAATAGTCACCCACAAAGCCTTTTTCCTATGGCCTAAATATATTCTATACCTCTACCTGTCACAGTCAGATTTTGACTTAGAAACAACTCCAAGTGATAAACTTCTGCTACCTAAGGGCTTGCAGTTTCACAAATCAAACTACTATTCTTTATCCTGAGAGGAAAACATCCTATAGGTGTAACAGATATTATACCAGGTTATAGAAGAGCTTCCCAGAAACTGGAAAAAGAGACAATATAATAAATATAATGAACAAAGCCCCAGGGAGGAGATAAAGGCAGGCAGAGAAATAAACATGCATGCACAAGCACAAACAAAAAGCAGAGGAGAAATGTTGACAGGTGGATGATCCTGACTTTAAGAGGGCCAGGTTCACCCCAAATGGATAGGCAAGTTTTCTAAAGTCCCCCATACATTCTCTGTGTGTTTTTCAGTTTTTATTTAGACCAGAAGTGAATGACAGGTATTTTATATATTTATTTATATTTATATATTTATATTTAAATATAGAAATATAAATATATAAATGTAAGGAGATGTATTTCCCCTGCACCTGTTTGATTTCTGGCTGGCAGGAGCAGTGCTGCTCCACTGCGCTGAGCTGCTGCTGTGGCCCACACATGCGTAGGTCATGCTTTGGGTTTTGGGCATCAGGACGGCTTCAAATATGAAACTTCCTCATAATCACTGCATGCTCTCAGCCAGGAAAAGGAACAAAATGAGTATTTTTTGATTTTTCCCAGAAGAACTCCCTACCACTGTTCATTTGTTGATATTTAACATACATAATCTTTGCATCTAAAGAGGGCATGAGGTGCCAGGACAGGCTCTGACAAACTGGGCATCAAGGCTGCCTGTACAGTTTTGAGCTAGGACATTGTAATACATCCTTATGAGACACTTTTATTAAATTTTCTACAGGCCCTCTGCTGCGTTCAGTGAATGAGTGATTATTATTTCTTTTCGTTAGCTCCATTTGATGTGGCTGTATGCCATATTTGTGGTGTGTTGTTCAGAGCATGTAATGAATTAAGAATTGTTCATTTCCAAATGGGCATTTTTAAACATGTTCCCCTTAGCATCAATGTACAAAGATTAAAGCCAAAATTATCCATTTTCAGTGTATGTCTTGAGACATTGAGGGACTGGTTTTTCAGAGTACTGTTTATAGTCTCCTCTGTGGAAAGCACAACCAGGAGATGCTTAGAATTCATCACTGGTGTGGATCTGGCTTCCTTTCTCACATTGGATACTCAAAAAATATATCATGTAAAAATAGTGATCACTTGTGAAAAGCTTATTCTAAGTGATAAGGCCAGGGTTGTATAAAATGTTTGCAGCAGAAATAGAAAAAAAGAACAGTGTTTTACAAAGTACCTTCAGGTCTGTCTCTTTTCTGCTTGTAAACCACTCCTCCTGCCACCCTGTACACCTCTTCAGCAGTCCTTCCACAGTCTTCATCACCAGCACTCCGTGCAGTTTTATGGCACTCATCTCTAGGATAAGGTAAATCTGGAAGAGGATGAGGGACAGCACCAAAGATGGGGAGTGCTGCTGGAACCCCCAGGTTTAGCGGTCTGGGTTGCATTGACCCCTGCTGTAACGTTACTTTTTCTTGTTACCTGTTATGTGATAAGGGAAATCCCATAACCTTTACTTAGGCATGATTTCTACAAAATATTTCTGCTCAGAAAACCATGTTTGTGTTGCCTGGGCCATGTGTTTGTGTATTGGTGATTGACATATTTAGTTGCTTCTGCAAGTCCCCTGTGGTTTGGGAGAGGCTGGAAAATGTTCTGACTTCCTCTTGTCTTTGCACCACTCTTTTTGGTGGAGTCCACTGCTAGTACTGCTCCAAATCTTTTCAACACTTTAAATACCTTGGCTGCCATTGGCATTTGCTTGCATCCTCTTTAAGATGTGAGAGAAGAGGCCCCATACTCAGTTGTTTTTCATCTGATCCAGTTCTCCCTCTTTCATCCACACACAAGTGAAGAGGTTGATGAGGCACATGGTGACAAGAAGAGTGTCCAGCTGACTTAAGTAACAACAGTGAGCTATGGAAGTCATGAGACAGGACAGCCTTAATTCCAGGGGAAGTAAGAAAATGCTGGAGTATAAGGGTTAAAAGAAGTGCAGAAATGAGAGGAGCTCCTAGAGACCTCAGCCTGGCATGTGTTTAGTGCAATGGGGCTCCTAGGTCTGTTGCTCACACTCAAGTCAGTGGTTATGTCTCCATTGCCAGCAAAAGCCATCTCTAGGGCACCCTGAAGCCATGGGACCCACATGCCATGGTCTGCATGGCCCTTGCATCACTT